ATTTCCTCTCTTATTGTTAAGTTTTCTAACAAATAAGAATTTCTATAAAACGTTTTTATATGAGACAATGTGTGTTCATTCTAGATTGTTTTTAACGTTCAACAACATTTCATTGATAGACCGATAACTAGCGAAATAATAAATTGAATTTGAAATATTTATGGAAATCAACAACCTTATTATGGTCATACTTATCTTAACGATTATTGAAAACACTGAAAATTATACCTTTATTGAGAAATATTTTATTTTATTTTAATCAATTACGAATTTCAACTCTTTTTTTTTTCAATCCATAGAACGAAAATATATCTTTACTTATTCAATATATGGAAAATAATCAACTAGAAACACATAACAAATAACAATCTTTATTTATTTCGTTCCAATTAGAGAAATCTATATCTAGTCAATATAGGATACTAGACGAAATATATAATAGATTATCTTTAAATCATTTATAAAAAGATATATGAATATCTTTTTTATCTTTAGTTTTAATGCTTCCTTTTTCTAAATGTTATTGACGATTCTTTAATTTCTATTTCGATTATGATAATAAATACTTTTGCCTTTATCAATATTTTTTATATTCTACTCAGATAATCAGGATTATAAGAGTAGGGAACCTTTCCTAACGCAAATCACTCTTATCAAGACGATAACAAAACAATTTATTTTATTCACTAATAGATTTATGATATATATATATATAGGATCCTAATAATAATTTCAATTTTTTTTTTCGAAACCATCACAAGAGTCGAAGTTTCTAAAATTGTAAAATAAAAATATATTAAGGTGAACATTTAACTGATTGATTAATATATATAAAAACGAAAGGTTTTATAGGATAAATATCTTGAATTTATCGATCAGAGATTAAAAATAAACAATAAGACAATTATCCGAACGATAAACAAAGTCGAAAATAGAAACGTGTCATATGTCCACAGATGAGAAAAACAAGCGTCCAAACGAGTTTGTTTTTGTTTTATGTAATAATGATAATAAATAGATTTATTGTTAAGATAAAGATTTAACAATGAATTAATATAAGAGTTGAATCTCTAGGGAATATTAAAAACGAAATAATATTTTATTTTATTTATCTTCTAGATATTCAAAGATAATTATGAAAAGAAAATAATCAATCTTTAAATCAATTGGAATTTTTTTTCAACAACATTTCTTTATGATTATTTTTTCTTCTATTAATATAAAATTACTAATTATAATCAATCTACACCATTTATTAATTATTATTTATAAATAAACCAACATCTATAACGGTCATGTTCAAGCAACTTCGTCCCCGTCCTCTCAATAATAAAATCTAAGAATTCTCTGACCAGTTCTCGTTCCTAACACTTGACTATATAATACTTGCGTCATCCGAAAAACATACTGGATTTTATCTAGGTTTATTATTTTTTCTTTTTCTTACTCGAAACGGTCAACATATATTCGTTATAGAACGAATATTTTTATTCAATGGATCTTCGATAAATATTTCCTGACTGATCGTTGATTCGAGAGAATTTTTCTAGAATTTTATATAAAGAAAAATTCGACTTAATTATATTTATATTAACACCCTAAATAATTATCTTACTTTGATTTATTTAATATATAATAGAAACAAAAACTACTCTCATTTTCTATAGATTGAAAATAATACTAAGATTTTTCAATAGATTTAGATATATTCGACAGATTATATTAATTTATTGTTAAATGTGATAAATATTTCCTACTAAAAAAAGAATATTCAATTCTAAGTTGTTTTTTATTAATTTTAATCTAATTATCAATATTGGTTAAATAACAACAAATCAATATTGATTATTTATTCATGTTAAATATAAATGAATATATTTTATTTAAAAAACAAAACGGATCTTATCAATTCTATAAATAGATTTAATTAAGACATAACTATCAATCAACAATTCAACAGTTGATAGACTTCTTTTCTCTTTTTGTTTTTGTTTATCCATAGTTGAAATTTAAAATAATTATTCAATATCTTTAAAATAATCAATAACTGATCAATTATAATCATAATATGTCAATAATCATTGATCAGAATTGATATCAGTTTATGTCAATAAATGAGAACGAATAATGATAAATTAAAAATGAATAAACGTTCAACTCAGTTTAACTAGAGATATATCACCGGGAGTAAACGAGCTATTTTTTATAACAATCCATATTTTTCATAAACGATTAGTTTTTTTTTTCTCTCACAAATCTACACGGTAATATTGACATAAAATAGATTTCGATATGATCATATGAAATGTTTCAAAATGAATTCTGATAAATGGTCTGATTTATATCAGAAATAAACCAAACATATTCGACTAGGAAATAAATAAGGAAATGTTCAACAATCAATTGAAATTATTTCATTTATCAATCAATACCAAAACAACGATCAAATCAAATATAATAGAAACAGATAATCTCACTTTAACATTTTTTTTTTAAATTTACATAAGAAAATTCATGAATATAACAATTATCAACACTTAAAGAGTAACTTTTAACAAAACAAAGTAAATTCTATAAAAAAAAAAAAACGATGTTTGTTTTTTTGTTTTTAATTCTTGTTGAATAATTGAAAATAATTTGGTAAAATCTGAAAATAAAAGTTCGAATGGTATTTCCACTTTTAATATATTGCTTTGTAACAAGTCAAACACTTCACTAAATAAATAACTCGAGAGATATATCTTTCGATCTCATAGGCTTTACCCATTTATTAGACGATTGAAATATCTACACCCACACATTAATTCTCTCGACAACAAAAACAAAAAACGTTATGCGTCAAGTGGAACGTACGAGTTTTGATCTTCTATTCAATTAAATTAGAATTGAATTCAAGAATTGATTAAAAAAGTAATTCCCTTCGTTTTTCTATTGTCAATATATGTTAGTTGAATTCATTTGTTATGTATCGATTACCTCTTTATAGTGGGAATTAATATATTATACATGCTTTATTAACGATGATTAACGTAGAAATCAATTTAAACCTAACATTAGAATTAATGTTAAAAAAGATAAAATCGATTATTATTAAATGATCGTTTATCAACAATAATTGATATTGAATAAAATAATGATTATTACTTTTAAAGAGAACTTGATATACGATATAAACAACGTTAAATAACAAGCTATTTAACTTTATCAACTTTATGCAATACAATCAGATATTCTTTTATTAATTCAACCATATTCAATAGAAAACATTCGATATTCAAATCTCGGAAATAAAATCTAATAAACCTGTACGTAGAAAACGTTTTTATAATAATAATCTTAATCTAGAATCAATAGTTTATTTAACAAAATAATTAAAATTCTAAATGGTTATTAGCTAAAAGAATTAAATTAACAAATATAGAACAAAGATAAGTTAAAATTGATTTAATTATACCAATTATTGATTATTATTTAATAATTGAATATGTTGATTTGTTTTGAAAGAGCAACATCTTATTTAGCAACAGTTACAGATAGAACAAGATTACAATGTCCAATATGGACATTCACCTCTTGCAGCAACACCTGACATTTATCCTAATTGTCGTGAAAATCTTTTTCAGGTTCGAATAGAAACAAGAAAAAAAGAATCTGTTCGCATAATTTCTACAAGATTAATATATAATGAAGTTACTGAGAAAGAAATTGACTGATATAGATTTCGAGTAGAAGCAATCTTAATCAGGGATAATAGATAGTTATCTTTAATTCAACTCTTTTATTAGAATCCTCCAGGAGATTTCGGACCATCGGATTCAAAATTTTCCAATCCGAGATCCGGATCCAACCCGATAGACTCTTCTTTAATCTTGCAAGTATGTCTCTTATGGTCGATGAGAAAATGGAGATGGCAACAGTGGATTATCTTTTATCATCTGTGAGAAGGAAAGGTTTGAAGTTTTGTCTCTAGATTTCAATAGTAGATTTAGATCGTGTGTCACAAAAGGAGAATGGAAGATTGTTATATATATATAAAGTGTCTCGTCGAATAAGAATCGATCAATGTTTTAATGATATGTCTTTTAGTATTCGTTTATTGAGAGTTATTATTTTCTTTGAATAAATAGACATTTTTATTTCTCTATAAGATTCGATCTATTTAAATCTCGACTATTCGATAACTAATGCTTATTGATGTTGATAGAGATAAACTTATTTTCATTTCACTCTTATCTAGTTGATGAATGTCAACGTTCCATACGTCGATCTGCATGCCTTTGAATATGACAGATATTATTTACATTAATAAAAACAAATAAACCCTCCATTTTATAGATAATTAAAAGAAATATTTAATTAAAATAGAGAGAATTCTCTTTTTCATAGGACACCCAATTGATAATATCTAGTTACGGATTTGAGGCTGTGTTCGCCAAACCATTGCCAAACAACTGTCTCAATTAATGATAGACTTAACGTGATCTATATTAAATTTGATAGGTTCTACTCCTCGAATGAATCATTATTAAATCCGATGGATTTCAAATATTGGTGTTACCTTTGTATCAGAATAGGATGTTATGAAATCGAAAAGAAAAATTCTTAACATATATATAGAACGATCTCCCAAGCGAATGACTCCCTCCGTATCTTGAACAAATTTTCCTTTTTATTCAGCATTTTTATTGCTCATCAATTCTATAATGAAAATTCATTTTTTTGTTTATCTCTAGTGTCAGAAATGTCGATCAATAAATTATGATGAACGTGATCCATTTTTATGTAATTCATCTAGTTATTGGAGAAATTGTAAATTTTATTTTATTTTTACTGGTAAACAAATTAATTATGTTCAATCTATTCAATCCGATCAACGATCCATGTAAAACAATTCCTAATATAACGTCAATTATTAGAAAAACACCGATAAAATCTATCGTCAATAACTTAATCAAAAATCTACTCTTGAATATTTATTAATTAAATTAAATTAAATTCTGATGATCAAACTTCAACGTTTAATACCTTCATTACCAACAACAACAACAACAACAACAAGCTCCTAGTCTATCAACACTAACAATAAGTTAAACATGAAAAAATAATCGAAATAGTATTTATCGTTTTGTTGAACAAATACCACCAATATATTATATTCAATCTCGTCAAACATATTATCAAATTGGTAAATATATACAAGAAAATGATATGTACACCTAACACAACTTTATACATATGATAAACGTCATTGAAATTCATCATCAACAACAACAACAACAACAACATCACGATGACATCATTGTTATGCTTCTATATTATCAACAATATACGATTGTATATTACTTTGACGTGCATTTGTTAGATGATGAAATCGTTTAAAACAATCTATTAAAAATAAAATATGATTAATTGATCAATTATTATTAAATAATATATATTATACAAATCAACAAATACATCATAATCTACGTTTATTATTTTGTTATTTAACACCTGATAATATAGAATTAACTGATTATATAACAACAAATATATTAAATAAAATTGAAAGAATTTTTTAACGAAAATTTCTTTTATCATCATCATCATTAATTAATTATGATATATTAGTAGTTTTTTTCACTTATACAACGTTCATATCAAGATTATCAAGATTTATCTTGGGAAAATATTTAAATTATTTATTTATTCATTTTAACATTTCAATACCAAAAATATAAGATAATCTTGTTTTTAAATTTGACTGGATTTATCTAAATTAGAAAAACTAACAAAAAATATTTATTTCAATTGATATTGAAAAATGTTCTATGAAAACAAATAACATATCAACGATTCGAATAAAATTTATTTTTCTTTAACATCTTATTATAAATGATGGTTAGAATTATTTTTATTTTCTCCACAATCAGCAACAATACATTACATATTTAACATCAAAATTAATTCAAATACTTTATAGAAATTATTTATTATTAAAATCTTAATCAATTATTTCCATAGAATATATGATGAAAATCTATTTTAATATTCATATGAATACCTACAATTAATTTAAGATTTATTTATAAATCTTTAATTAATTTTATCTTATGATCAACAATTTCAAATATTAATTATTAATAAACAAGATGAAAAACATTTATTTAATTCAAATTTAACACTTGCTTATTCAATTAAATCTTTAACGGAATTATTTTATTTATTTTTAGAACAAGATCAATTAAAACAAATATATAAATCAATATTAATTCCTATTCTATTACAATGGTTATTTAACATTTAACAAAATTAATTCTACAACCTACTAGATTTATTGATCAAGCACAATATTAAATTTTTGAATAATTAGAACAAATTACAAGAGATAATCAACAATAAATAAGAGAATTTTGAATTATTTTTATTTATACAATTGAAATATTTCAATTAAATCATATCGAAACACCTACCTTTATTTATATTTCAACGTTTATCGTTTTTTTATTTATACACAAGAAATTCTACAACGAAAATAATCAATTTATTATTATCGTTGACAGTATATCCAAATCAAGAAGATTTCTTACAAAGTTTGCTTTTAACAATAAACAAAAATTCTTAGTGTTCACTTATATCTATTCACTTTGGAAACGATACTACTATCGATGCGCACTATTTATCGAAATACTGATAGTCAGTCAACAATACAGGACTCACTCAAACATTGATTAGGATTTTATGGAAAATCTAAAAGAGATAAACAAATAAATCGAAGACATCGAAAAAGGAAAAAAGTCAAAAATGAAAATTTTTTAAATAATATTTATGATAAGAAGAATTTTATTCGATCATATGAAAAAACGAAAATTTTTTCTACGATATAGATATCAAAGATGTTCATCGCAGCTGAAAATCTCTCGCTGCCGCGACACGCTCCTAAAACAAGCCAAGGCTACCACAACCTGGCAAACTCTATAAAAAGTTGATGATGATCTTGTCCTGGTGACGGCACCGCCGCTGCCATGAACATCTCTGATGGGTATAGACATTTTTCTTTACTAACACACCTTCACTCATACATGCACACTCACACGATGGTATGCGAAATTCAAATTTTTCTATATTATTATTCAATACATTATACAAGATAAAGAATACAGTTCGAAGAGTTCTCATTAAAATGTCTATGATGCATTAGCTCGAATTCATTTTTATACATTGACAATTGAAGGGAGACAACTTCCAGTCTAACGTTGGGTTGGGTTAGGAAATTCATTTTTATATATCTTTCCTAGTTGCTGGGATTAGAAAACGATGTCGAAGTGAAGATAAGAGCCGCATTTACACTACCACCTTCAACAAAATCTTTATGTTAACTTTATCTTGTTTATTTTGTTTGCATAATTGTGAGATAACGTTTTATTTCAAAATATATTTTAGAAGTCCAAGAGAAGTTCAACTTACTGATCGAAGCATTTGCGAATAGTTAACGGGAAAAAGATCTTCTTATTTCTCAAAGGATTTTATTAATTTTCCATTATATTTTTTTCATAGTCATTTCGTTTGAATTTGCTAAGAATAGGAATATACCATATGATCACACCCGCACCTATACCCATATCTTATATTGAACAATTCACTAAAATCCTCTTTATCTTTTAAGGAGAATCTATGAGCAGAAATTGTTTTAGACGTCAACTAGTTTGACCAAGTTCTACATATTGACAAACTATGATCTCTATTGACGTCCAACAGATGAAGATGTTGACTCGTTGAACCGATCTATTAAAAATATATTTCTATTAGTAGGAATAGTTATTTCATATTTGACATATTAGTCTTAAACGAGTTGTGCAGCACAACTTTGAAACTTAATTTGAGTCAGAAATGTTGAACTATATTAGCGAACTAATTCAAATAACGATAGTCAGTTATATCGAAATGAATTCTTATAGAAATGTTAAGACAAATATCTATTCTAATAGTTAAAAGTATTCAATCCCAGAAAAATAAAAAAGAATTATATTATTATCTCAACTTTTTCTTTTTATAGAATTCATTTTTTTCTCTTTTGTATTGAACTTGAAATCGATCAAGAATTAATATAATATAATGAAAATAATTTTTCTTTTTTTTTTAATCTATTTTCAGGAGGAATGATGGGTTAGCCATATAGTTGACCAGATTCAGCTATGGCTCGATTAATGCCTGATATAACAAAATAAAATGTTTTACTGATTATCAATTAATTCCATTAGTTGAAGATGATTATCTCATGGAATTACTTTTGGAAAATAAAATAATTTATTTAGGTTTAGCTCTTCGTCATGTTTATAAAAAATGTTTGGTTACCATATAGAAATTATCATAAAACAACACCATCAAATGATGATTGAACAGCAAATGTTCAACCAGTTGTTAATTCATCAGAAAATGAACATGTTTATCGTATGCCTGGTTTATTAGGTGATGCAAGAGAATATATGATTGAAAGATTTTATAGAAATGAAAATAGTGAAGATGATTCTGAATAAATATATTGTGTTAGATAATGTTCTTAGTGAAGATTCAGATTTCTAAACTATGATTAAACGTTTAGATTGAATTGATGATATGTCATAAGGAAAAGCATTATTATAAATTTTAATATATTATTAAACTTAAAGTTAATCAACAAGGTTTAATTGATCGAAATAAACGTTGAATATAATCTATGTTAAACAAACTTAATTTATTATTAAAAAGTCAAACTGAAGAACAAGGACTTTTATTATTAATAGAAAAACTTCTTTTTATTATCGATAAATTATTTTATAAAGCAAGTAGAACATAATGACAACAATAAATATAATAAATATTCTCTATAATGTCAAGGTTAGTTATTATTTATTGATCTAATCAAGATTTTTTTTGAAGATTGATTTCTATTGAAAAAAAATTTGTCATGTGTTTTGTAATAAAACTAGAAAATATTTAACAGTGTTGTCTACTACCAGAAAGAACTAACCTACACTGCGAAAGTTATTGACTCATTTTTCGTCTACTTACCTATTCTTGATTAGAAATCAAACTTTTTCGCTTTTTCCGAATATATATTCAGAATTTTTTGTCTGAGGAAAGATTGAACAGTTATCAGTTAAATTTTGTGAAGAAGTCGAAACCTGTATCTGTAGAAAGCAAAATAGGAATTTTTATAAACTACCTAACACTTTCCAGATATCGAAAGAAGAGATTTTCGAACGTCTTTTTCTCTTAGACTATATATGTAACGACAGAATTATTTTAAAATCCATCATCTTCGACAGATATTTTTAAAAAATGCACGGAAATCGTATTACGTATCATAGAAATTTTCAGGAAAACATTAGAAAATTTACCTAAAATCGACAAAATCCTATTTTATTTGACAAAATAGATCCGGGATTTCGTTTGTTTCGTTTTGAAAGATGAGAAGATAATTATCCGAGTCGTTTTGTTGAACTATATTTTCATGGATGTTTTGTGAAGATGATGGATTTTAAAATAAGTTTCCTTTATATTGTATAAAATAAAGATAGATCTGACACAAGTCGATAGTTGTTGCCCTTATCGAGTTATTCGAATTGCATTCACTCTTTTAATTCTGACGTGAACATCTCTTGTTAGAATGCAGAATTGACGGAAAACATCGAAAGAATAAATAAATGTCTCCAGTATAAATTCTGTATGACTGTTGGTTTCGATCGTTTCCTACAAACACTTCTCAATTATCGAATTGTTAGGAGTCACCAAACAAAACAAATTTTCAAGGGCGATTTGAAATATTGAATATTAGCTTTTTAAAATAATGAAATAAATCGAAAATGGTCACTGATCGGACTAACTCTTTTGAAAGGAGGATAAAAAATAAGATAAATATTTGTTTAGAATTAAAATAAAACTCGTTTTTATTTCTATATTTATGATAAATTATTTATATAATCAGAATAAAAGATAAACGAAAGAATAGTCATGATTTTCGAGTATAGAAATTCTTTGACAATTGTAAATTTCCTTTTTAGTTTTTTTTCTTATTATCTGATATTGAACAATTACGTTGATAACTTAATTATATAAAAAAAGCATTTGTTAAAATTCATCCAAGTGTTAATGGAAACTCTTATTCATTAATTATCATATTTTGAATTTAGAAATAAAGAACAAAATGCGAACATTAATTGATTATTCTAAATCATTTTTTCAATTTTATCGATTTGATCTTGAACAAAGATCATCATCAACAATAACATCAAATTATAATCATTGTCAATTATATTTAGATTGTTTCTCTGAAATATGTTTACATTTAGATAAAAAAATCTCTTTATGGTTAAGAATTTTTTCATCTTGTTAATTAATCAAATGGTATTATTGATCAATCTAGAAATTCTGTTGAAGCCAATGCATCACAAGTTAAAACATATTTAGTTACCTTTATTAATTGGTTTATCATGTCGGCATGAACAAATTCAAATGAAACATTGGATTAAGTTTAATTTCAATTTTACATTAAATTCAACAATTAACAACAACTGGTAAACGTTGCTGTGTTTAGCTGAAGATCTTTTACATTCATTAACTGAATATGAACAAGTTCCTAAAACAAAATTTATCATCTTAGAAATCAAACCTTTGTTGGATTTCTCGTCAAGGTTAGAAAGATTTTCCAAATAAAATTTTACCTATTTATAGATTTAGAAAAAAACGTTCATATTCAACCATATGAAGGTAAAAGACGAAAAACATCTGCTTATGCCAGTATAACACATTTTTATATAATAGATATTCAATGTCATAGATCAGCTATTAAACAAGCACGATCAAGAGATGAATCGGAATCAGCTTTATTACAAAATGCAAATACACCTTCTAATGGGTTATTAACATTATCGGAACGTGATGTTGCTCAAGCACAATTGACAAGAGCATTTCTAAGGTTTGATTTTGAGAATTCCTTTTTGTTTTTTCGTATGTGATTAAAATTATTTCCTAACGAGGCAACGTCTTCAACATAAACTAAAACAAAATAGATCTTAATCAGTCTAGAAAAACTCTCAAATGCAGTTTGCCTCTACTAATCTTTCGGTAAAGAAATACGAGATTTTTACGAGTAACTCTCCTGATCTGTGTAGATTTACGGTCGAACTTGTACGTCTTTTTCAGTAGTTCCAAAACATCAGATAAGAATAAGGTTAACTGTGTGCATAGAGATAAGTATGGATCGCGGGTAAGGACGCACGGGACCAAAGTTTTTGTGCTTTCGCACATCTCTATATGAGATAGATTGAGACGTAGAATAAAGACATGTTCTGACGATCAAAGTCCACCAAATGATTAAAAACTTTTGAACTGATATTTTGTCCATAACTAGAAAAAGGCTAAAAGGATAAGTGTCCTATAGGTCTTTCTTGTAGAGTTATGACCGGTTTACTGGGTTTTCGACCCATGGCAAAATATATAGAAAAAACTCGATTAGTGAAATTTAGTCCATATTTCGATCTGATGGTCGTTAGTATGCGGTAAAAGTTTCAATGATAATGGATCTTTCTTTCTCGAGATAATCAATATATAAGAAATGAATTGTTTTTTTTTCTGTAAAATGTGTATACTTATTTACAATTGATTTTCTCGATAAAGTAAGATCCGTTTTCGTTGAAACTTTTAACGCTTACCAAGGATCATGGGCCCTACATATAGGCAAAATTTCAGATAAAAACGTTCGTCATTCGATATTTGCTAATAAGTCCTTCTATCTAGATGAATATGAGAAATGTTTGTTTTTACTTGTAGTCATAGACTAGAATTCTAAACCTATTTATACTCAAAGATTATAT